TCTCTCTCTCTCTCTCTCTCTCTCTCTCTCTCTCTCTCTCTCTCTCTCTCTCTCTCTCTCTATCAGCAACCGAAAAACAAAAAAGAGAGGAGAAAAAGGGAGGAGAGATTACGGAGAGACGCAGGAATCGATCTCGATAGTCGCGTTAGCACCTGTGTGACCAGAATGGAGGACAGCATCAAGTAGGACTCCTGCTGATCCTTGATAATGTCGGCATTCTCGTGCATACCGAAGACGCTGGGCGCGGTAGACATCGGCAATTCCTTCACGTAGTCCAGGAATAGACTATACTCGCTAACCGTCGGTACGTAATACAGACCGCTGGGGTCGAACAGATATTTCTCGTGGACCACGACCTCCCGGCGGTAGAATCGCTCCAAAATGGTGTTCAGGGCCCGTCGGTCCCACTCGTCGGTTACGCGACCGCCGTAGTTGCATTCACCTTGACGATAAAATAAAAAAGAAGAGAAACAGAGTGAGGGAGGGATCAAAGGACACGCTAATGAGAACCGCCATTAAGATGTTTTCGATGTTACTTTTATACAAGCACTTTTGGGAGCTTTGAATCACGGCGGGGATCGTTCGTACCTTCTTATCGCGAAAAATCAAATGCACGTATTTCACCCATTGGAAAATCCGTATTTTTCTCTCCCAAGAAAGAGAAAGAGAGACCGCGATGATTCGCGCGCTGGGCATCGAGTGTGCGTGTTTGAATAATTAGAAACGGTTGGAAAGAAGATGAGAAACGTGAATATAGTGTAATGTACAAAATAATACGAGTCAGTTTTTCCCAGCCAGGAGCAACTTTTTCCAACGATCATTCTCGGTCGCTCTGTCTCTATTCGGCGCTAATTCAATTTCAATCACGGGATTCGATTAATTTCTTCTGCTAAATTTTCTTCGTGCTCGCGATTAACAACTTGCCCGTGAATTCCTTCCTCAAGAGCTCCCACACGCGCGGCGTGTTTCCGACGTCAGTTAAATATCTCATTCGAGCGAACATCGCACTCGTATGAGGTGTCGAGCAGAGAACGTGCGTGTGAGAGAACGGAAATGCAACGAAATGTATCGTTCGCATACCCGTCAGATACTTGAGCGCGGTGTACTGCACGTCGTCGTACTGGTCGAGGAATATCTTGAGCTGCTGCGCGCTGATACGCAAATCCGTCTCGTTGAATTCGTACTGATTGTTCCAGCCGATCGGCCCGAATTTCCGGCGCTCCTGCACGATGGCGTGAAAGAAGCAGAGGGAGAAGAGCAGCTTCTTGAAGGTCCCCCTCTGCGACGACGTGTCGAAGAACTCGCGATCGCATATTGGATCCTGCCGCGACATTTAACCCGATCACTCATCGCGCTAATCTCGCGCGGCGCAATATCGAAAGAAGGAAGGGAGGAAAAGAGAGACATTGTCTTACCTGCAGAAAAGATCGCATGATATTCGCGCGCAGTCCTTTGGGAGGCTCGTTCGTCAACTTCACGCCGTTCTGGAGAACGCTGACGGGGAAATACCCGAACGGGTAGCTCGTCAGCCAAAGCCGAAAGTCGGGATGCACCGTGTCCGGCGTGAAACTTTCGCAGATCTAAAGTGGCAATGAGAAAGAGGAGAGATACTAGAGAGGGGAGATGAGAAAAGGAATGTACTTTTAAACGATAAAGGCTGCGAGATACACATGCGTAGCATCATTACACCAAGAAAGAAGATATCCAGGAAATAAAAACAAATTTACTCTCAATGAGTATTAACTCTTTCAGGATGGGAGACATTTTTTGAGGCTCTACGGCCTTCATGCGTATTTCAGAAATTATCGATCCGATATTCACAAAAATTGATATATAGAGGTTTTTTGGAATGCTCTTTCCAAATTTAAGGTAAAAAATGTAAAATTCAAAATGGCGGATCAAATATGGCGATTTTCGAGATGCCAAATTATGTAAATATGACTCAATTTCCGTGGAACTTCATACTCTCTAAATTTGAATTAGTGAAAATCTTGACTGCTTTCCAGTTTCGCTCTTCTTGGAGCTCATCAGTACCACACAAACTTTAGTTAGCGACAGACTGGAACAAATGATATTTACAATATATTTACATACTATATACAAATATTCGATTTCAGTTCTCAAAAAAGTATTTTTAAAAAGTTTCATAGTTCAAATTTCACGCAAATTGAATGATATTTATATTATTTATCACTTTTTCCGCTATATTGAGTTTGCCATCTTAGATCACAGAATCTTAACAATCTAAGTTCAGATTCGGATTTAACGACTCCAAAAGCCCATAAAATACGTACTTCCCTATAATTATCTCCCCGAGCAACCCTCCGTTCTGAAACGGTTAATGGCACCAAAAATTACTTTCTAGAATGATTTGAATTGCAGATTTTCTTTTACAAAAGCGTTAATTCGACATCAAAATAAAAGCTGTGAATGTAATGTTTCCATGATATTTCTTACGCAAGAAACGAAGTGCTCGTCGAGCTCGCGAATCACCTTTTCCAGGACAGGCATAAAGCTCTTAGCGACGTGACAGTTCTGCAGCACCACCCAGGTGCCGTTCTTCACGCCCTCGTCGATGAGACCGGCGGCGATGATCCCTTGCCCCTGACCCAAGGATAACGAGAACAGCCTGCTGGTGCCGAAGCCCTGGTCGTCGGCGAATTTCAGCAGGATCGCCATAGGATCCGCGCCGGGTGTCAGGACGAATATGAGCGGCACGCAGGAGTTGGAGTCCGCGAAGGAGGCCGCCAGGTCGAAGGGTGGCGACTCGATGAATTGATGGCCTAATTGCTCTGCCCGAAGGAAAATGGGAGATTCGCGCGCGAGCGAATTAGCGCGCAGGGCAGGTCGAATGGAATTATTCATAAGCACATTACTCGGGACGAGATCGCAACGAAGCGCGATAATTTCGCGGAGGGCCCTTCGCGAATGCACAGCGCGCGCGTGACATATCTCTCGGGGTCTTTAAGGATCGCGTTATATCGCGCAGGATTTCGTTCCTTCTTCGCCGGCGTGTACAGAGTGTCCCGATTCCGGACTCGCCGGATACGTCCTTTTTATCTGGATCAATTTATTCGCAAAATGCGGACGCGAATGCTCTTGGCTTCCCTCTGTTTGTTTTCCTTTCTTTTCTAAGTAACCTTACCTTCGACGAATAATTGCGCCGCCGGCATGACTTTGTCGGGACGAATGCAACGAAGCACCAGCATCCTCTCGAAGTTGTTGAGTTTGTTCCAAGGCGCGGGAAAAAGCAGGGTATGAGGCTCCTTGTGATCGAATACCTTCTTCCACTCGCCGACGTTTTTCGTGTAGCTGTCTTTCACTCCCTGGGCGATAAAGTGCGCAAGAGTCGTGATAGAAATAGCGGTGTTCCGGCAAAAGAAATAATTAATCGCGCGCGCGCGCGTTCAATTGATCCTTCTCAATCGGGAATCTTCCTTACGCGATCGAATTATTTTTTAACGCAATTTTTCGCGGTTTAAGAACTCGTTATACACCATTCGGAACGCGACACATTTGCTACGACTCCGTTAAGCTTAACGGCGCATCTCCTTTAGAAAGACCATTCCCTTTTGCAAACGAATTTTTGTCGATTTTTCTCGAGATGGCAGTTTTCTCAAGAAGATTTCATTCACTTTCGCACTCGTGGCGTTCAAGCTAATCTTTACAAGAGAGATTCACGTCAACCTTAACGTTTCTCGTATCGCTCAGGCAATTTTACCGTAAATCCCGGCACGCCGTCCAGCCGGCACAGCTCGTCCCAGGACCGTGACGGCAGCCAATCGGTGGGATTGGCGAAGGGATTCTCGAGGCCGACGCCGCCGGTCAGTAGAAATATCCACTGAGCCATCGAGAACTCGCCCTGCTTGTTCAGCAAGTTCACCGACAACAGGACCGAGAAAAGGAGCTTGTCCTTCTCGAAGAGCGAGCGGCATATGTTCACGTATAGGGAATAGGTGAAGTACTTGGTGAGGTCCTCCAAACGTTGCTCCATGCTCTCCGCGCGCGGCGTATTCTCGATCGTGTTCTTGAAGAGATTGACGAACCAGGAGAGGGAATACTGGTACATCGGGTCGATGTTCGCCAACATAGCTGAGAGGAGACAGAGTAGAAAATACCGCGGGTCGAGAGCTTATTCCTCTCGCGAAATATTCCGGAGTTTTGCGAACGGCGAAATTCGCCACCACAGAAAGTTTGAATTTCAGGACGAGTCGACATCGAAATTTCAAATTCTATTTCGTACGAAATGTATTGAAATATGAAAATACGCGAAATATGAAATATTTTATCGGTATGATTCGACGATATAATGAAATTATGATGACGTAATATTTTCTTTCTTGTTGATTTCGTTCATCGTCTCTGTAGGCGTGAGATTGATCTCTTTTTACCTCATTTTCCTTCTAGCACAAAGTGTGCTAAGTTTTTGACCGTATATTTAAATGAAATAAATAAATAATGACGTGATAATGATACGACGATACGATGACATGTGGTGATTTTTCTTGATATAAAATTCAGTCACACCTGCAGTTGCGTTTTATTCTTGCTCACCGATTGTGAAGAAGAGAACCGTGCTGTAGACCGCGATCGGCGTGTACTGCAACCTCGCCGTGTCGATAGACTTCTCGGTGACCTCGGCGGCGGTTTGCTTAGCCTGAATCTCGTCCGACAGAGTCTTGGAAGAGCTTAACACGCCGATAGCTGTCTCGTCCTCGAGTATATTCTCCTCGGAGCTCGACAGCACCTCCAAGATCTTGTTCTCTATTTCCTGTAACATTCTGCGAAAATACACCGCGATACATCTCGCTCATCGGAGTGAATGTGAAAATAAATAACGACGTGATAATGACACGATGATATGTGATAAAATTTTTCTTGATATTTAAAATTCAATCGCAACTGCGGGTATTTTCTTTGTGAGAACGACAATAATTTTACGCTCTGTAAGAGAAAAAATCTAAAAACTAAAAAGTATTTCTATATTCGATCATTCCGAGTGAACGTGAAACGAGAGAGGTAAATAAAGTCTCGTAAAATCAATATTTAATTACACGTGAAACTCATCTCTCCGTTGTGTCTATTTATTTGTCATTATCATATCACTATCGGCAAAAAAATTTGATTTCATCGTGCCAAAATAATGATACCCGATATAATTATTAACAATCAAGCATCTTTTTTAACGTACGACGCGTAATAATTTCCCGAAGGCGAAATATCCGAATTATCCAATAAAATAATTTCCCGTGATTATAATTATTTGACGTTCCGTGCAAGATAACGAGAGACAAGATTGAACAGGATATTCGATTCGTACTTTTTATTGGCCGCTCCCTGGACTATCAGCTGATTCTTCTCGGCTTCGAGATCAGGCCTTTCCTTCGCGACGACTATACCCAAGAGCTGATCGTCTAGACCGACCGGAGTGATCATGAAGTTCAGCAACGTCACCTTCACCACCACTTCCGGCAGATAATGCGGATTTCGCAGTTTCGTGGTGATGTAAAATCTGCGGGGGTCGTGCACGAATTAGTGGGTGAAGTTTCGAATGAGTTTCACAAGCTCATAAAACCTACAATGAACTGACAAAAACTTCAAACTGCAAATTCATTCTGCTTTATTGGAATCCCTTCTCCGCTCGGAAATAATTTGAATAACAGAAGATAAATTGAATAAATTAAGAGCGTGTTGAATCGAAATGCTAACGGCTTGAAAACAAATGTTATATTATTGTAATACGTAAATTAATATTATATTATGATATCAAGATAGAATGAGTCGAATCGATAAGCACACGTACCGAAACTTGTCGGAGTACTCAATGATGCTGTCGCCGATCTTGATGCAGAGCGTGCCGCCAGATCGGAAGGTCTGCTTCATCAGCAATGGCTCCAAGGCCGCGTCCAACTCCTCGCCGATGTTCTCGAGCAACACCGGCTGCCCGAACTGCACGGCGTTCTCTAAGACCCTCACGTAGTCTGGCTGGGTCAGCTTGATGACGTTCAGGTTCGACGCCTTTTCCATGTTCTTCACCCACTTGTTCGCCTGGCCCTGCGGGTCGATCATCAGCGGCCATCGGCGCGAATTCGTGACGATTATGGCGTTGTCGATGGAGAAGAGGTCGCTCGGCAGGCCGAATATGTTCCAAGACCTAATGAGCACCGGGTCGCCCAGCACCTGAGTCAGCTGGTAGTCTTGTGTGCAAACGACATTCAAGCTAGTGCAGAACCCCACCCAGTTCTCCAATTGCTGCTGTCGAAACTGCGTCGTGAACACGCCCAAGTAAGCGACCACCCCCGCGCTGATGAGAATGTCGCCTGTCAGCTTGAAGTATCTCTTGCCAAGCGATCTGGAAGCAGAAAGAATCGGTCTTTTCCTCTGTCGAGAAGTTATTCAAAGTCCCAAAGTTATCTCTCGAAAACTTATCACGCGAGAGGATTGAGTGCTCAGAGTCGTTACTTGGCATTGTCCGACCATCTGGTGTACTCGCCACCGAGTCCACCGATCAGTTCTTTGGCTCTCCTCAGCTTCTCCTCGCACTCCTTCACCTCGTCAGTCATCGCCTGGTAGTCCGCCTTTCGTTGGGCTAACAGAGTCTCGAGATTGGCCAGTCTATCCTGCACTTCCTGCAGCTGGCTCCTCTTGAGGTTCAGCTGCTCCATCGCGGAAGCGTAATCAGCCTCGGCTTCAGCCAGAGCTTGTCTCTTCGGCGCTACCACCTTGGCGACTTTGTCGTATTCCGACAACGCAAACACCCAACGGCACAGGCCTTCGCAGGCGGTCGACACGGTCCTGATGCGTTCTGGGTCGAAGTTCGGGTTCGTCAAGATCGTCGTGCGGATCTTCGTCATGATCCTCTCCGGGACGTTGTCCTTGTCGTAAGTGAGTAGAGACTCTAAAAATCGTATGTCCCCCAGCATGCGAAGCGAGGGCTTCCAATAGTCATCCATTGCGCCTTCAGGAGTCTGAACCTTCTCCGGTTTCACGTCCTGCGACAGAGAGATTTTTTAAGGTTTTAGGATAATACAATACCCCAACAATTATATTCGCTCTTAATTTAATCTTTAATTAATCTTCTTAATTATAATTCTAGAAAATATATTCCTTCTTATATATAGTTACTATATAATTATATACACAGAAGAATAAAAATTTTTAAGGGAAATGAGCGAATCTTCGATGCGAAAGAATAATTAATGAGTCAGTCAATTGTGCAATGTTTTCGCGTGAGATATAATTATCGTAATCACTTTCAATATGCAAATCGCCTCCATGACCAATCGCACGCCGGCCGGAGGGCGCTTCATGGACTTCACGATCTGAATGTCCTGCGGCGTCAAAGTGTTCAAAGCATCATTCGCCGCGTTCAGTATCGGCATCACTTCCTGCAGATCCGCGTCGCACTCGGCGCGGATTTCATCGGCTTCCGCGGCGACTACCTGTACCATAATAAAACAAGATTTGATAAAAATTAACAACCAGAAGACGCGCAAATTACCTGAGAAATATCTCGATATTAGTTGATAGATTCGAGAGACTGAAAAATCTATTAAAAATAAAACTCGCGCAACTAACAACAGCGACTCTTGAAGCGAATTTTGAATCGCGAATTTACTCTCCACTCACCAAAGCGGCCTCTTCATCCTTCTTAACGACCTGTTCCATCGCGCTGGCTTCCTCGCTCTCGCGCTGCACGTCCAAGAACATACCCTCCACGTCCTTTGCGGCCACCAACAGCTTTGGCTGCAAGGCCACCAGGATCTCCTGCATCCTGCCGACTTGTTTGTGCGTGCTGTCCAGTCTGTCGAGTCCGCCCTCGTAGCGCTTCTTGCCGTCCAAGACCTCCTTTCGCTTTCGGTTCAGCAGAAACTTGAAGGTGTTGATCAGCTCGAGGTACGACGTCGGCGTGACGTAATTGTAACGATTCAACATCCTGCAGAAGTACTTCGTGAGATCATGCGTGGACGTGTGGAAGTATTGGCACATCTCGATGCAAGCCTGACGCTCCTCCGTCGGCATTTCGATCTCGCCCAGGAACTTGGTCGCCACCGCGAGCAGCGCGTCCTCCGGCCATGGCTGCAGCCAATCGATGGTGCAGCAGTTCACCAGCGCGGGGAACTTGCGGACCCGCGTGCGGAAGTTGTCGCCGATCGGCGACATCGTCAGCACTATGTGCAGGTGCTCGCGCACTGTCTGCACGAAGAAGTTGAAGAGCGCCACCGGACTGCCGTCCGTTTGTATGGATCTGAAGACGACATCTTTTGATTATGGTTTCAATCCACATCGAGAAACAAGCATAAATGCAAAGTAACAAATCGCGGAATATAAGGAAATTCCTCTCAACACTTTAACTTCATTTATAGCTATCGCAAAATTTTGAACATTCTATTTTTTACTTAAATTCCAAAAAGTCGGAACTTTATATTGTTGAAATTTTACTTCTACAACTCTTCTGCTATACTTTCGCGGAAAAACATTTTTTAACTGATCACTTAAATAATTCTATCCTCAATAGGCAAATTTAATTAATATATGTCGAGCGAACCTTTATTAGGACAGACTCATTGATATTATTGATGATACGTCCAGAAATTTATATTACTATTGAGAACGAAATATTTTATTTTTTAAATTTAGGATACTTGTCTCTCTGCCGATCGATGATTCGCATTTGCTCGCAAATTTCGGCCTTCTCGTCGGTCGTGAAGAGATTCGGCACCTCGCCGGAATTGAGTAAATTGCTAACATCCTCCAAGAAGATCTCTTCTTTAATCTGCGTGTCCATAAAGAGAAAGACGGTGTGTAAATCGCTCGCTGCGCTCTTCCGTAGAATGATCCTTAGGTCGTCGCGCCACTCGTGAAGGCCGTATTGCTGGGTCATTTGAATCTGGAAGAGCTCATAGTCTGATATGTGAGCCGCCAGTTTCGTTAGAGACTGTCGACCGGAACCACCCATGCCGACCAGAAGAACGTGGCTTCGCGGTTGCATCATCACTCGGTAGATTCTCGAGAGATGCTCTATCGCGAATCTGTGAACATAATATTCACTCGTTCACCAACTTTCTCTAATCAATACCTTAATAGTAAAGGCGCCATAAAAAATTGTATGGGACTTTTCTGTTTAATTTGATGCGCGTTCTACCTGAGTACTTTAATTCAGATCTTTATTATTCATATATTTTATTAATATTTTATTTTTATTTTTAGTATTTTATTAATATTTTAATACTTTATTAAGAGATATTATTTGAAGAAAAATTGGCGAGTGATTAATGTTTGACACCCTGCATTATATCATAATAATTAATATTGTATCACGGTCATTTATTCGATAATATTGACTGAGAACTTGCCTGAAGAGGACGAGATCCATAGGTGTTTTCGAGATCGAATTGTATTCCGCGAGATACTCCTCCACTGCCGAAGCGAGCGCGTCCCAATCGTGAATCTCGATGTACACCTTCTGATCCGCTGTCGGGTCATGAAAGTCACAGTAGATGAGGTTTCGCAGATGCACCTCGGTCAGTCGCGTGCTAGACTCGTCCAACAAGTCCGCAAATAGCTCGTCCATGTCGTCCTGCATGTGTTCCTTTATAGTCCTTCGAAGCTGACTCACCAGCCACTTATTGTCGGTCTCGTCAACCAGCCGGTCACCGTAAACGCGGAGGACCTCGTGGACCCACAAACGTCTCATGTCGCTCTAGAAGTATTTTTTCAACGAAAAATCATGTGGAGATTTATATTATCTTCTGCAAGTGTCGTTTGCAACATCGACATCACTGTAATCGCGATTCTCGATCGGAACGAGTATTACACAAATTCTGCGATACTAATTACATATTTACCTAATCCTATAATTCGCACTTTAATTCAGGTTTTGATTTAATGCATAACATTTTAACCGATTTATAAAATATTAGGTGGTAAACTTAGTTTCTGCGGTTTTTTTGTTTAAAAAACTCATTTATTTCGACATCAAAAGCAAAAAATACATTAATCGAAGTATTTTCCCTCGCTAGCTATACATTTTTCCCATCTTTCGGGCAACGCGTAGATTCCGCGACGATAGAACGATTGGTCTTTTGATGCAATCCATTCGTCGATCCATTTTCGCACATCCTCGTAATTTCTGAAGTGTGTATCCACCAAGCCGTGCTGCATCGACCGGAACAAGTAA